CACTTTTTGTCCTTTTCCCTGTTTCATCCTTTTCCTTATCTGTCTTTTCCCAATTTATCACTTTGTTGGCAAAACCTCACTTTTCGTGCTCGGAGTTAGTTTTTGACTTTACGTGCCTTCATCCTTAGTGGTTTCCACGAAATACGTATCTTTACTTTTGCAAGAAAATACTCTGGTTGCTCCCGGTACCCATAGGGGCATGAATGCACAATTCTTCAAAATCTTTTTCTTTTCTTGGGGTATTTTTCATAAATATCTTTTGAAGATATTTTATTTCAGGGGCATCTAAGAAAATATTTTTGGAAGATATTTTCATTCTGGGGCATTAGTGCAGTTAACTCTTTGTAGAGAGGCCATTGTGCAATTAACAAAAGTTATTGCAAAAATATCTGGTCTAGAGCCTAGATCCTCGTATAGAATTCATTTTCACTTTTTATCGACTCGTAAATTCATAGAATTTCCTTCTAGTTGTTTTTCTCCAGTTTCAGGGTTTCTAAACCTAGTTGCCTTCGAACTTGTTCGGAGCATATCTCTCTGCTCGAGACTCAGTTTTTGACGCCTTTTCTTCCGTTGCTCATATTTTCTCATTTTAAATCTTTTTTGTTCACGGAGTTTTTCCATTTGAGCGCATTTGCTCAAAATCCACTTTTCCAAACCTAGCGGGGCCCTTTCGGGGCACTTTTTGAGATTTTCTATAAATAGGGGACTTAAAGAGAAAAATCAGAATTTTCTTCTCTCTCTCCTCTCTCTTGGCCGGCAACCATGGCTACCATGATTCTTCTTCATTTTCCGGCCACTTCCCTTGAGTGAAAACTCTTCGGCCTTAACGTTTAATGCTTGTCTTGACGCCGTGCATCTTTCACCCTTATTAGAACCCATTTCTGACCAATTCTTGAGTTTGGGTTTGAAGTCAAGTTGTTATTTTCATGGGGCTTCTTAGGGATTCTTATTCACCGTGTTGTCCCCGACAAAACCCTTCGGTATCATCGGATTCGGAGCACTTTTATTTCGGTGGGCCTTTGAGGTTTTCATCTCAAATTGGGGTAGGGGGTGTTATAATTTATATTCTTGTTATATAGCATGATATTGATGCTTATACTACTTGTTTACATGCTTAAATATAAAATCTACAGATTTTATTATTTAATGTTCTTGAATGAGATTTGATTTTCCCGGTTGTCCATAGTTTGTTTTAAACATGTGGCATGATAGGATATTACCCCTTGATATGATCATTGACATATATTAAATTGAGAGCTTTTGGATAAGTAATGAAGATTTTATTTAATGTTTATCTTGAATAAAATATTAAATCATGTGGCCTTATCTATCTTTAATTCTACATGTGTTAGCATATTATATTAGGCCCTAACATGCTCTTCAACATAGATTAATTTGAGAGTAATCGGAGAAGTTTTAAAATCTAGTAATATTTAATTAATTTGATTAGTTAATTTATCCCGAGTGTACTATTCACTCCATTGGAATTCCGACTTGACGTTCTTGATATGCATGTCGTATAGTTTCATATATATTAAATCTAGAATATTTGATTAGGTTTTGAAACCTTTCAATTATTATTTTTCTAGTATTAAAGTTTAATACTCATGGTCGTACCTTGCATGAAATGTACTTGTATTATGCTTTTAAATCAAGTCTTGACATGTTGTATAACATATGCTAGTTTGAGATCATTTAGATGAATTTCAAAACCTAAAGATTTTAATTAAATGAAATAATTAAAATCCATTCAATAGCTCATTGGTCTTGATTAAGTTTCTAACTTGGTAATCATGCTTTCCTTGACAAGTTTCCTCACGCGTATCAATTTGAGAATAACCGGATAAGTTTTGAAACTTATATTTATTTATTTCCTTTGTATGGAATTAAATTCATATGGTCGTGTCTTGTATGAAATAAACTTTTAACTTGACAATGAACTTGCCTTTGACATGACCTTTGACATGCCTTATTCGTAGAATAATTGGACTTGCTATGTAATCTTGATAATTTAATCCCTTAAGTAGATTAAATTCCTTTGTATGCTTCCATCGAGTTAATCATGCCTTGATATTGAATTCTTGTTAAACTTGTGAATTGTGCTCGTATTTCATGAACTTTTACCTTTTTATCAAGCATCGTGACCCCTTGTATTTTGGTTTCGTTAAAGTACTTAATGAACATGCATATTTGTCTTTAAATGATTTAATTACACATGCGTTGTTTAGTAGTTAATTAAATCATTAATCTTATACTTATGGTATATTTACATCAATGGATTCCATGTGCTATATATATATCTTGGTTTTAATCTATATAGATGCATATTATGATTTCTTAACAATTCACATGCCATTATAGTTGATGAACTTAGGGCATGATTTATGTGTTCCAAAATCTTGGTTGGGCATGAGACGTGGTTAATACATTTCTAGTATTTTGATACTATCTTGGTTTGCATAACTTGTTGATTTTGGGACTTGGGATATTAATCAAGAATTGACATGGCTAAAACTTGGTTCTAGTACGGGGGAATGTCCTCCTACACTATAGTGCGCACTAAGGGAAAGGTACCCATGGGTTAGTAGCCCTAAAGTGATCTCAAGAGTACGGTTTTAATCCGGGCGATATCCGAGTTTTCCACATTGGTTGATTTCACTCTTTAAATTTCAAGTTGTTATTCCTTGAAGATTTAAACTTGTCATGTATGTGAAATGCTCCAATCTTGTTTACTTGCATAGATATTATGCCTTGTTCTTGATTTATGTATAACTCTTTCGTGTTTCATGGAATGTCCTATCCTTATTTAATTGCATAGATATTATGCTTTGTTCATGATTTCGTGTATTACTTCTTATCTTGTTAATTAGAATGCTCTAATCATGTTAATTACATTGATAATGTAATTCTTGTTAACTTGTATCCGAGTATGTTTTTTTGTCGTGTTGTACAGATTATTCCAAACCTTGTTTAATTGTATTGAAAATGCAATTCATGTTGATCTATTTTCAAGCATTCGCCTTATCGTGTTCTTTGGATTATCCCAAACCTAATTCGTTGCATATATGTATGTATATCATGATTCTTGTTAACATTGTTTTAAGGTAGCTTAAGATGCCCCCTAAGTCTAACCTTTGACATAGACATTAGGTGGCATAACCCTTTTGAACTATTACATGTCAGTCTAAAAATGTTTAAAGAAATCGAGTTGATGCATGCTCATTCTCTACGAGTAAACTTGTTTACTCACCCCGAAGTTATTGGGGGATTTGTTCAGGTGCGAAGACTTGGTTCGTGATGCTTGTCGTTCATTGGGATGGCTTGTAGATTCGAGTTTCCGTTTCATGCAAGTGTTAGCATGGAACATCATTGGTAGCCTTATGTATCAAAATTTGTATTCTTTGACTCCATTTGTGTAATATGTATATAAGTACACTCTTTTCATTGTATTCAACATGTATAATATAAGGCCAAGGGCCAAGCATGTTCATATTTGCACTTGTACTCATTTGGCGCCACCTTTTGTTTAAAAATGTAATTTTTCCTAACTTTGAGGTTTGCCATGTCAAATCTTGTAAATGTGATGTAATAAGGCCATAGGCCATTGTAGCATATTTAAAATGCCATATTACACTTGCGTGTATGTTCACATCATCACACATTAGCTTATAATGCAAATCGATCATGCCATGGGGAATTCAAATGAAGATTAGGAACTCATTTCAGCCTCGGTGCATAACAGGTTCATATGCACATTTTCGAGCCATTTTGGTCGACCGATTCCCTTTGTGGTTTCAATTGAACAGTGAAAATCTCAATTCCAGTAGCCTTTTTCAATTCGAGGCTTATTTCGGTCGACCGGTGTGTCACTTCGGTTGACCGAACTGGGAGTTCATTTCTCCTCTTTTCCTGGCTCATTTCGGCAGGCCGATGCTCTATTTCGGTCGACTGAAATGGAGCTGTCTTATGGGTCTTGTTTGGTTTGTTGCCTAGATAGGTTACTCTTGTTTCATTCGTTCCCACTTGACCTTGTTGATCTTGTTTAAGCCATTTAATGGTGTAGGTGGTAGGTGGTCTAGTTTGAACTAGATCTCGACCCTCCGGTTGTCATTGGTGCCATAGGGTACCATTTAACCTTTTTATCCTAGTCTCCGCTTCCAGTGATTTCCTTGAGTTTCATAACTTCATGAGAAGTCACTTTGGTGTCCTAGGGATGGTTTGTATCTCTAGAGACCTAGGTTTATCATTCGCTTCCGCGCCTTGTTTCCTTGAGTTCCGTGACTTCATGGAAGGTCATCTTAGGATCTAAGAGGTTGTTATGTCTTGGGAGACCATTGTCTTATTTCTTACTTCCGCGTCTGGATCCGTTATCGAGTCAATCCTCGGATCATCACTTACCCACCGGGTTGAATAAAAACCCGGGTTGTTACACTTTTTCAGGCATTTTCCTGGCATCCGCTCTCTCTCAAAGTCACTAATTTTATTTGTCATAATGTTTATTTTGCCCCTTGTCATGTGCTCTAGGTTCTCTCTCAATCTCTACTCAGACTTTTGCTAAATACCAAAAAATAAAATAAAAATAAAAAATATATTTTTTTTAAAAAATAAAATTATTTTCTGAATAAGATATAATACGTGGGAACAAACCTAGCCAATTCGTCCATTAGTTATACTTTTTCAGGCATTTTCCTACATCCGCTCTCTCCAAAGTCACTAATTTTATTTGTCATAACGTTTATTTTGCCCCTTGTCGTGTGCTCTAGATTCTCTCTGGTTTTCCCGTGTCGACATAAATTTGATTGGCAGTTGACCCGGAAAATGTTATGGAAGACTTGCAAGGAGAGCCAAACACTCAATAAAGTGGACCAGCACTAGAGAAAGACTTGACTTCAGACTCTCTCTCTCTCCTAAGTTAAATGGAAGTGTTCAAAAAAGTCATAATTAGAGGCAAGTGGTGATAAAAATGTTAGTCGCATCACATAAAAGTGATAGCAACTCATCTAAAAAAGTCCTTTCTGTAATTTCTGATCTTACCTTTCTTTCTTTGACCCCTCTGAAAACGCTGAAATTTTGGTGCTGATAAAGAAAATTGGATATCATATATGAAACGTTTGCAGTTCATGGTCTATAGATTTTCACTACTTACGAGTTGAACTGATGGGAAGAATTTCAATTTTTTATTTGATTTTTGCTATTATAAGTATCATAACAACAGAATTTGCTTGTAATGGTGATGCCAATCTCACACATTGTTTAGAATCAAATCGTGAGGCTCTTATTGAATTCAGAAATGGCCTGAAAGATCCCGAGAACCGGCTCTCATCATGGCATGGAAGCAACTGTTGTCAGTGGTGGGGGATCAGGTGTGATAATAGAACTGGAGCAGTTGCTGTGATCGATCTTCACCACCCGAACTATGCTACTGAAGAGTACAGGTATGAATTTTGGAACTTGAGTGGAGAGATTAGACCTTCATTGCTTAAACTCGAGTCCTTGACATATTTAGACTTGAGTTACACTACATTTCAGGACATCCCAATTCCTGAATTCTTTGGTTCTTTGAAAAATTTGCGCTATCTAAACCTGTCATATGCAGGGTTTAGTGGCATAATTCCTCCCAATTTGGGAAACCTCTCTAGCTTGAAATATCTTGATGTTTCTTCTGAATTCTCCAGTCTAAGTGTTGATAATCTTCAATGGATGACTGGCCTTGTTTCACTAAAACATCTTGAGATGAACCGCGTTACTCTATCTTTGGTGGGTTCAAGCTGGATAGAGGTACTAAACAAATTCCCATTTTTAACTGAATTGCATCTTTCACAATGCAGCCTTTCTGGTTCCATTTCATCTCTTAGATCTGTTAATTTCACTTCACTTGAAGTTATAGATCTTAATTTTAATAGCTTCAACTCGAAGTTCCCTGATTGGCTTGCAAATCTCACCAGTCTTGTACATGTCGGTATGAGTCGTAGCGCCTTGCATGGAAGGATTCCACTTGGACTCAGTGAGCTTCCGAGTTTACGGTATTTAGACCTTGGTTTCAATGACCTTAGTGCCAGTTGCTTTCAACTGTTCAGGGGAAGCTGGAGAAAAATAGAGGTTCTCAATTTTGCTACAAATCAATTACATAGGAAACTTCCTTCTTCCATTGGGAACATTACATTTCTCACTGACATTGATCTGCATGTCAATAATGTAGATGGTGGAATTCCCAGCTCCATCGGTAGACTTTGCAATTTGAAATATTTTGATTTCTCTTATAATAATTTGACAGGAAGTTTACCTGAATTACTTGAAGGGACTGGAGACTGTGTTTCCAAGAGTCTTTTGTACTTGAAATTGAGTAACAATAGGCTAATTGGTAAATTGCCAGAATGGTTGGGTCATCTTGAAAATCTTGTGGAACTTGAACTGGGCGATAACTTGCTTGGAGGTCCCATCCCTGCTTCTCTAGGGAAGCTTTCAGAATTGTCTATCTTGGATGTTTCTTCCAATCATTTGACAGGTACCATCTCAGAAGTGCATTTTGCAAAGCTAAGGAAGCTGAAGAGCTTATACTTCTCCTCAAATTCCTTAATTTTAAATGTCAGTTCCAATTGGGTCCCTCCATTCAAAGTTACTGAGCTTGACATGAGTTCATGTCACTTGGGTCCTTCATTTCCAACTTGGCTTGAATCACAAAGGGAGCTTGTGTTCCTTGATTTATCAAATGCTAGCATTTCAGGTGCTATACCAGCCTGGTTTTGGGATATAACTTCTAGTATGCTGGCCTTAAATGTTTCTCGCAATCAGTTACGCGGTCAGCTTCCAAATCCTTTAAATGTAATCAGTTACTTTTCAGATTTCAGCTTCAACCTCTTTGAAGGTCCAATCCCTCATTCTATTGTCCAGATTGGTTTACTAGATCTCTCCAACAATCAATTTTCCGGTCCAATCCCTCAAAATATTACCATTTCAGGGTTGATCTTTCTCTCTATTTCCAACAACCAACTAACCGGACAAATACCTTCCACCATAGGCGAAATGCACGACCTTGTCATCATAAATCTTTCTTGGAATAATTTAACAGGAAGTATTCCTTCAAGTATAGGGAATTGTTCTTCCCTAGAGGCTTTAGACCTCGGACACAACAGTTTGTCTGGGGTGATTCCAAATTCTTTGGGTCAGTTGAAACAGATTCAATCATTGCATCTAAATGACAACATGTTATCAGGAGAAGTCCCCTATTCTTTCATGAATTTATCAAGTTTGCAGAACCTAGACCTTGGAAACAATTATTTATCCGGTAATATTCTGCCATTGTTTGGAGAAAGTTTTACAGATCTTAGAATCCTTAGGCTGAGGTGGAATGCATTTTCTGGAGGAATTCCCACTGAGCTTTCGCATTTAAGTTCACTGCAAGTCCTTGACCTTGCTCATAACAATTTGACTGGTACCATTCCGGTCGGCTTGGGTGACCTAAAAGCTATGGCACAAGAGAATAAAGTAAACCAATATCTCTTATACGGGTACAAAGTTCACTACTATGAAGAGAGTTTGGTTGTGAATATGAAAGGCGGGACTCTAACATACACCAAGACTCTGTCCCTGGTAACCTCCATAGACCTATCCGAAAACAATTTAAATGGGGACTTTCCAGTGGATATAACAAAATTGTCAGGTCTTGTGGCCTTGAACTTGTCAAGTAACCAAATCAGTGGCCGAATTCCGGAAAACATTTCAAGTTTGCGTCAATTATCATCCCTTGATCTGTCAAGTAATAAGCTCTCGGGTGCAATTCCTCCAAGCATGCCGTCATTAACATTTTTGGGTTATCTGAATCTATCGGATAATAACTTCTCTGGTGCAATTCCTTACACGGGGCAGATGATGACCTTTAGCGAGTCTGCTTATGCTGGAAATCCTGGTCTTTGTGGACCTCCCCTTGTTGTTAAATGCCAAGGCGAGGATTCGTATCAACCAAAGAATGTTGAGAATGAGAATGGCGACGTCTTCATTGACAAGTGGTTTTACTTGAGTGTTGGCTTGGGATTTGCTGTTGGACTTCTGGCTCCTTACTTGATCATAGCAACAAGAAAATCTTGGAGCGATGCATACTTCAGTTTCGTGGACAAAATCGTATACAGATTACCATGCGTGAGATACAGAGGAGCAATTCGCAAATGGTAGGCTTTCTTTTCAGTTGTGTATTATTTGTATCATAAAAGCTTAGTTTGGAAGTGAATTTCATTTCAATGTAGAAATTTCAAAAATCTGCAAAGTAATTTGCCTCTGTTTTCAGAATACTATTTAAACATATAATTTTTCAAAAGTTGTTAAAGATGATTTTGATTTCAAGTGATTTTTACCTGTACAAAGGATGTAACCTTCCACCCTTCCCAAACATTTTATTCTTTCATTCAACAATAGGAAACGACTCCTTTAAACCCTTTTAACTTAGCCCTCTTAGTTCTTAATTACTTTTTTGTAACTACAGAATTATGTGATTGACTGCTTGTTTTTCTTCAATATTTGATGGTTTTTAGGATAAGACTTTTTTTGTGTATGAATATTGATTGCTGGCATAATTAAGATTTGATGATGATGAATGTAGATTTGACAAATTTCTTTCAAAATTATAAGGTGAAAATCTGGATATGTCGCGCCTGGACCTGAATCTGGACGGATTGTTGCTGTGAAGTACCTGGTTGCCCGGGCAATGGCTCCTTACTGATTTTCATTATAGTAGGATTTGGTTTCGAGTTGGTTAAATTCAGGTTTTGCTTCTGGTTGTGATGGATTTGTGGGATGAAATTAATTTAAGGTTGAGTTTGTGCTTTTTATGTTACTCAAATTGATTTCATATTTACATGAAATTATCAAACATTTGGACATGAAACACACACGGAATCATGGCTTTGTGCATACCAAGAATAAAGACAACAAACTGAATTGAATATATCTTGATTAAAAAAACTCCGAAATGATTCATTTTATCTGTCAATGATTTTCTGGATCCTTACAAAGAATCACACACCACTTGCACTAAACAGACATGTTATTATATGATTAAAATTAGAAAAAAAAATAAAAAATAAAAATATTATGATATGTTAGTTTTTTTTTTTTTTTTTTGAAGCATAAATCTTAATAAAGATTATTACAGCATGTCATGAGTACATTGTTTCAGTAAATGCAGTTTTAAAAGCAAAGATTTTTATTTGTTTTAATTTTATTTTACTTTTTGGATGATGATTTTTTTTTTTTTTTTTTTTCCTCCATTATGTAACCAGATCATACTGCTAGTTATATGGTAGTAATTGCATTTTGTTTTCTTGGCATTCGTTTGAAGTTATATAGTCCAGTTTAAATATACAAAAATATTCATGAAAATAGGTTAATTAAAATTATAAAATGTAATGACTTGGTCATTTCCTTCCTTTCCTTTTTTCTCAGAATTTTATGGATAAATTTTTTATTTTTCTTCGTTGAAATTTCTTTTCTGAGTTCAGTTTCTTATCACTTAGTGCCGTCTCGAATGCTCGGAAATAGTTTCTGAGACTCTTTCCTTTGAATTAACAACTTCCTTAAAGTACCACGTCATTTCCATTTTTTTTTCGTTTTTCGACACTATTCACTTTTTGTCTTTTACCGTTTATCATTTTGTTGGCACAACCTCGCTTTTCGTGTTCGGTTTTACTTCCATTTTTGCATGCACTCATGATATATGATTTCTTAGAAATGTGTATTTCTATTTTCTTAGAAAAAACATGCTAAGTATTTACTTTTACTGTAAAGGGTATGGATGCATAACTTTTTTGTAATATTCTTAACTTGTGGGGGTTTTGTGTAATTAAATAAAGTAATTATTTTTCGTCTTGGGGGCCATTTTGTAATTTAATTTGAAAGATATTTTTAAAAAAGACCTTTTTATAATTTTTGAAAAGTGTGACGAGTGTCACACTCCTGTGGAACCACTTGTTAACATTTTGGTAGAACCACTTAGAAGCTTAATCTCTCGACACATGGACGGTGGAGATTCAACCGTTTGTTGGCCTAAGATTGGACCACTTGTTGGCTTGGATGAGTGACAAGTGTATGCTCCAAATTAAGTCTTGCAATTATTTTTGGACCACTTTGGGATTATGGTTTTAAAATAGAGTTTTTGTGCAATTGACCATAGATGTGTGTGTTGACCATGGTGTAGGATCACATAGTGAGTAGAGGATTTCTATTTCCTCTACTCACACTTCTTCACATTATGTCATTATCTTCCTTACCACAAACCCTAGCCACCATTAGAGAAGCTTGATGCTTAGGCCCTGACCTTGATTTTTGAGAACCTTCCATTGATTTTCAAGCTTAATCTTGGGAATACTTTTTGTTTCCCTTGTCCTCCTCTACATAACCCTTGAAGGGTTTGCCATTTTATGTTGATTTGCCTTGGATTCAAGAGAAACAATCATCTTGTAAGGTAGGAGGTGTCATAGTTTATTTTTGAAGTGGTTTTAATTGCTTTTGTAGTGAAATACAAGTTGTATGTATGTTTTATATCAATTTGAGAAATAAATGATTTATTATAACTTGCATATAACTCATTTTAAACTTGATATATGGCATGGCCATGACTTAATCTTTGTTGTATATTAATTTGGGATGATTTAAATAAGTTTTCAAATCTAAAGATTTAATAAATTTAAATTCTACTAAACTGTACCTTTCTTGTATTCCATTTTTGACATGATATATGGCATGGCCATGACTTAGTCCTTATTATATATTTATTTAGGATCATTTGAATAACTTTTGAAAAATTAGAGATTTAATTAATTTAAATTAATTAAAATCTACAAGATGGAGTCTTGCTCATTTTGCTCTTTTGATTTGATATATGTAATGAGCATGCTATGTTATTTAACATATATTAATTTGAGGTTATTTGGAATTGATTTGAAATCTAAAGACTTTCCATGATTAGGTTGAAAATCTCTTAAAATGTAGTATGTTTAATTACCTTATGAGTATGCTACTAACTTGATGTAAAATTAGTACTTATGGCTCTTTAAAATGGTAATTGGACTTAACATGATATAGAATATCATTGACTTGTAAAACTTGTTTAAATATATATCTTGTGTAGGTATATAATTTGTTAGAATATTACAATTGCTTACCTTGAAAGTTAGTTACTAAATTGTAACTTATTTAGTACTTGTGGCTTAGGATGGTAGTGCGGCTCAATTGTTGTAAAATATTCTTGCTTTGTGTATAAATTGCATATCGAGGACATGACTTGTCATATGTTATTTAGACTTGAATTCTATGACATGGATTGTGTGGATTCAACCTTACTTACGCATGGAATGTGGTAACTTACATTTGATTTTGTATAGATTTTGAACTTATTGATTTTGGAAAGTTTGTGAGAACATAATTTATGTGATGGTTAGGGTTTGGCTTTAGTACGGAGACAAGAGTCTTCTAAGTCATAAGTGCGCACTACGTGGTACTTTATGGGTCGTAATTACCCGAAAATATTTGCTTGGTCTAGCGACCACATGTCTTAGTCTTTCCACCATTTGTTTTCGCATTTAATTTCAATTTGTTAATCATGGATTACTTGTAACTTAAGAATTAATACTTACTTGGATATTTGAATCCTATTTAGTATACTTGAACTTGTATACTTACTCCATGAGTTTAAATTTCATTTAGTATGCTTGTGCTAGGTATACTTGTCACATGCGTAATCTTTTTAGTTTAGTATACTTGTATTTGTGTACTTGATTTACGAGTTTTCCATATTAAATGTATACTTGGGTAGACATGCTTGGACGTTGTATAACTTATTTTAATATGGTTTAGTATACTTGAAAATGTATGCTTGAATGTCGTATAACATGTTTTGACATTGTTTTGTATACTAAATCATGTATACTTGTATGAGGTAGTTTATTTCAATTGCATGAGTAACTTAAGATAATCCCTAAGTCTCACTTTGACATAGACGTTAGGTGGCATGACCCTTTTGAATTGTTTCAAGTTAAATGTAAAAATCTGTGAAGAAATCGAGTCTATGCATGCTCATTTCCTACGAGTAAACTTGTTTACTCACCCCGAAGTTACTAGGGGTTTTGTTCAACCTAGTTCGTGATGTTCTTCATTGCTTGGATGATTGTAGACTTGAAGGTTTTAATTCTTATAAAGGTTAGCTTGAAATGCCACTTGTAGGCTTAGTTGTCAAAATATGTATATTTGATTCCTTTTATGTAATGTGTACATAAGTACACTCTATGCAACGTATTAGACTCGTATGAGATGAGGCTGAAGGCCAATAACATGTATTTTGCATCCTATGTAATTTTTGACTCATGGAATATTATGAAAATATTAAAAAATGTCAAGTCATTGCTTCGCCATGTTTGCATCGGGTGTGGGAATTTTATTTTTATTCTTTTATAGGGTCTCATTAATCATGTATGAAGTGTGGCCAAGGGCCAAACAGTCATTTGACTCCATTATATATATTTGGATTTCATGTTTTCCATTTCAAGTTCATTTTCACCTTTTTGGCCGTTGGGGGGTTGGATTTTGCATCGGCGGTATTTTTAAGTCATGGACCATTGTAGCACGTCCTAATAGGTAAGTTATGTTTGCTTGCATGATCATTTTCAAGAAAAACCTCATCCTTGGTGATTTGAGCCTCTTATGGACTCATTTTGCATTTTTATTGCATAATCCGATTTAAGGGCATTTTGGGATTTTTATTTAGAAAATGAATTTCAATCTTCACATGGCTACTTAGAAAACCTGATTTTAGGGGGAGTTTCTTCTTCTTGTCTTTCCAGAAAATGTCATCTTGGTACGTGAAATCCTTCGCGAAGTTCAGCTTTCAGTTTTGTATTTTAGCAGCTTTTTGACCCTCATGACCAGATTTCATGGAGGGGCATTTTGGGCATTTTACAGTGAGTTTTTTTTAATTTTTTTCACTTTGTTACGTAGAAAACTTGATTTTGAGGGGGGTTTCTTCTTTGTGTTTTTCTAGAAAATATCATCTTGGCCCTCAAAAACCTATTTTTTTTCCGAAAAACCCCTGCTACCAGGTTTTTGTTGAGCTGTAGCACAAGTGTGCGAACAATAGATCTTTCGTAACCGGTTAAATGACTTAGGGTAGTGTTGTGGTCATGATTTTTTGCCTTCTAACCTGTTAGGAAAGCCTTGTAACCGGTTAGATGGTCGTGGGTTGACTCCTTTTGACCTTTTTGCCCCTTTTTCTTCCGTTAGCCATATCTCCTTTGTCCGGACTCCAAATCGAGTAAAATTTTTTTTGAACTCGATTAATTTTTTGCTATCTTTCCAACGGTGTGCTAGATTGCACCTGAATATTCCTGAATAATTACCAGTTTACCCTTTTAGCCTTAAGTGCTCGTTTTTTTTCGTCTTGCCATTTCTCCTTCGTCCGGACTCCAAATCATGCAATTCTTGAGTCCATCTTAATTAATTTTTTGTTCTCTTTCTAATAGTGTGCTAGGTAGCACCAATTTTTAGGTAAAATGACCATTTTACCCTTGGTCCATTTCTTGTAGGGTTTTGAAACCCTTGTTTTCCTCTTGCTTCCATTGAGCCTCGAGATTCCTCAGGAAGCCACTTTTGTGTCTTAGGGATGATGTACATCTCAAGAGACCATATTTTTGTTTAGCTTCCGCATTTTGGATCCGTTATCGGGTCAACTTTCGGGTCATCACTGACGCACCGGGTTGAATAAAAACTAGGATCATTACATAAAATTATTATTTTTTTAGATTTAAACTGAGTATGCTCATAATCAATTAAAAATATTCTAAGAAA